TATTTTTTAAATATAAAATAGCCACGTTTAATAACGACAGTTATTTATGACTGATAGCAGAATTCCAAAAACATCTGACAAATTTTTGTAATTTTTCAATTATTCAAAATTCAACCTTTTGATATGATTCGGATTTGGAAAAAAATTGATGAATTTGTGTCGTTACTTTTTTTAAAAGAAAAAACACTATTCTATTTTAAAAAAGCATTTAATTTAAGCGTAAAAAGTTTATCAATTGCATTTTCCGTGGAAATTTTTTACAACCTAAGGGTTTAATTTCATCAAGGGTTCCATTATTTTTTCATTAATTTTCTTTACCTAAGTATTTCATTCTTGAGAAGACATTTTAGAAGTATTTTGGGATATATTGTTGAAAAATTGGAAAAAAAATATTTTTTTATCATTTCTCATTTCATTTTTACATTTTGTTTTTAAAATTTTTTCCTAAATCCGATCCAAATCCTTAGCCTTAAATTTTATAAGTTAGCCTTAAATTCTCTGAGGATGAAACTATTAATCACTATTTTTATTAATGATTTACTGCACTTGTTGCAAATATATTAGGGGCCAATGTTCATTTAATATTTACTTAATATATGGGATATTTGCCTAAATTTTGATATAAAAGTAAAAAACTGGAGGCGAAATTAATTGAAATATCTGGAAGGTTTTCGCCAATGAAAGAATTTAAGGCAAAAAATTCTATAAAAAAAATAAAAAACTAAGGTAAAAAACTAGAGATAAATTTCAGCACTAATTAATACCAATCTGAACTTCTCTCTTTCACTGTATATTGGATGTGCCATTAGCAAAAAACCTATGTATGCGATGAATATTTTATCAGATTACACTTTTTTTTGCTAAAATATCGTTTCAAAACTATTTGATGAAATCTGAAACAAATACATTAGAAGAAAATACATTAATTTTATGAACGATTTTTCTTCAAAAGAAAAATGGAAAAATCTCAATGATGAAATTCTCCTTTTTATGTCTTAGTCGGCTTAGACGCTTTTCTAAGCAATTTTAACGAAATTAACTCGTTGAAGAGTTCGAAAAACAATTTTTTCGCCATTATTACTTATTGGTATTTATCAGCTTTACCAGGAGATCTTTAATGAATAAATGATTTTTAATAAATAAAAGAAGAAAATTGAACATTTTTCGAATGAAATATACTATAATAACGAGAAAGCAGAACGATTTTATGAATCGCTTAAGGGATGAAAGAAAAATCTGGCTTGATGAAAGTAATAAAATTTATAGTCAAAGCGCTTATTTACTATGAAAGTAGCGAAATTATTTGAAATTGAAGAAGGAAAATTGACGTCTTCAAAAGACTTGAAACAGCACTCGAGATATAATTTGATCCTAATAACTAACTTGAATAACATCGGTGAAAGGATTTTTCATTTAAAACATCATTCGATTTTAAGATATCTAAGATAATTTAATGGATGATAATGAGAAATCATTAAATTCGAATTTATAAGCCGAAGCTATAGATAACAGTAAGTAATGATAAATGAGCAAGAATGCTTGCTTGCTGATAAATAAAATTTTTATATATAATTAAGTAGAAATAATGAGATAGATAGAAGGCTCAGTGGGTTGTTGGTCAATTGGGAGCGCCGATGCTGGGGTTCGATTCTCCACAGGAGTAAACCTGTACAAAAATCCGGGTGATGCTGGCGAGTCATCTGTACTTCTATAGCCAAGGGACTCTCTGGCATATTTGTCCAGTGTGACAAGTCAGTGGAGCGAGTTTAACCACTAACTGTGTTGACTCTTAAAAAAAGAAAAAACATGAGATAGTTAGCATTTCCTTCTTAATTTAAATTTGTAATTGGTAATGCAACAACCTACAAAAGTATATGAGAAAAGCAGTGACGGGTTTTGAATTTATTTATTATAATATTTATTTATCTCACATATTGGTGCCAGAGATCCAATAGTTGTGGACTTTAAAGGTGTTTTAGTAAAGGAGTATTTACTCTAAGAATATTTTTAGTTTGAAAAAGTTTCTACTGCTTGTAACAATTGATTTGCTTCTATTTATTTAAAATTATAAATTTTATTATATGCTTTAATATCTCTAATTACGCAAATTGCATGTGGGAACCCATAAATAAAATATTTTCAATTTCCTAAGATATTATCAAAAATATTCTGAGAGCAATTGATATTAATAATTTCGAATTGTTTTTTGTATTTGGGGCTAATGAACATTTTTATTTATGCTGAAATCAAAGGCAAAATTTTCCATTTGTTATCAGCTTCTTTTTTTAAACAGTGTACAGTGTAAGTCTTGAGCACATGGTTGCAATTCAAAATTGTTTCAAAAAAAGACATTCTCAACCAAAGGATTGGTATTTTGTTAAGATGACGGATAATATTTCGAAATAGATAATTTAAATAACAAGATAAATAAGCACAATTAATGTCGAAAACAAATAATCTTGAATTTAAAAATAAATTTAAAAATAATATTCTTGAAAAAATTTTTAAATTTTTCAGACGACTTGACAGATGAAAACGATTAAATGGAATTAAATATAAGCCTATTAACCATATTATTTAATTTAGTATTTTATTATTTAAAACCGGAGAATTTAAATATTATTCTTATAAAAGAATAATCCGAAGCGATCCAATATAATGCAACCAAATTGTTCTTTAACAATGCTTATAAGAAAATTTAGTAGAATATCCCACAGAAAAAATCTATAGAAAGAAATTATTGAGATACATAAAGAGATACTTCATTCTTATTGTCTTTGCCTTGTAAGTCCTCAACCTCGGAACCGAAAAGATTTCTATAAGCGAAAAATATGTATTAAATAATATTTAAAGCAATAATAAGGAAATGGATCTAATAGTCGTAAGTTAAAATTTTCTAAAACTAAAATCTAAAAAATTTATCTAAAAGTTCAGTCAGCCAAATAAAACCTCCAAATTTCTCGTCTTTTAAGCCTCAAATAAATTGCCTTTTCATTCTTAGATTTTCTCTTGTTTAAAATTTAAACCCATTTTTCCGATCAAAAATTTCAAATGGTTATTATTATTAAATCTAAGAGGCTAGGATGGCTCAGTGGGTTATTGCTGTCATTTCGGGAAACCAATGTTAGAGTTTTATTTGGGGCAAGAAGAAGAGTAAACCTGATTTTCAAAAATCTGGCAATGACACACCTCGTAATTCTATTTCCAAATGACTCGCTAGTTCGACAAGCCAGCGGAGCGAACACAATCAGAAATGGCAAGAATTCTTAAAAAAAAAAAAAAAAATCCAAGCTTAACTAACGTAAATTCTGAAAATTTCGAAAAGATTGGCAAAGTGAAGAATTAGAATGAATAAATTTTTAAAAAATTCACTAAACCGAAGAGATATCGCTATTGAGGCTAAAAACAGCCACTGCCTTCTTGAGACTGCCTTCTTCAAACATTCATATGAATATAGACCAATAAATTTGGAGGATGGAAGATTTGCTTAAATCCTCTAATCGGAAATATAGCTATTAGCTATTATTTATGTGCGCTCAATAATACACATTAGTGCGATCTTATTGGGAACTCGTTAAAGGTCTCATAAATACTATACGTTTTAACGATGCGAAACTTTTTTTAATGAAAGAATTCGTAGAATAAAAAAATTTAAAAGCAAGCATAACAAGATCAATTACGATTCTTAAAAATAATTCTTCGCCTAATTATGGAAAAAAAATGCCTCAGAGGTCCCTTACCTTAATACCTTAAAGCGTTTAATAACTTTGTATAATAAGAGATTCTTAATTAGGCGAATAGCAGTTCTTTAACAATTAGAATGATGAATTGCAGACAGATTTTCAGTTGAAATAATCTTAAAATCTCAGAAGACATTCAATTAATCACGAGAAAAAAGACTTTTATAAACTATCATTAATTTATTTATTTATCATCAATACACAAAAATTATTAAAAAAAAGTTTTTTTTTTTTCAGAAATCTTCCGTTGAATTTGATTGCAACTTGGCAAAATTAATTATTGCAAATTAATTATTATTTCAATTTTCTCAGCCTTATTTCAAATTAATGAAAAGAAAAAAATTGGAACACTAAATTGGGTAATTCGAAAAAATAATAAATAAAATAATTAATTTATCCATAAAATGCATAAATTTCAGAAGATATTTATTAAATATCATCTTTCCAAATTATTTTTTATTTTAGTTGCCGATCATTAGCGTGAAGCTTTTATTTAAAAAATCTCGTCCGCGTTCGAGAACTACTGAATAGAAATATGTCGAAACTCTCAATCAATTAATAGTTATTTAGTTATTACTTAACAATTGACAACAAATTAAATGATATACGAAAATTTTCATGCATTTTAAACTAAATATTAGGAATGAAAATGGAATTAACAATAAATAAAGTTTATAAGAAAAGTTTTTTCTAGTTTTTTCGCTTCATTTTTCATAGTTCCCAGCAAATTTGGTTTTGCTTGAAAAATAAAAAAAAGAGAAATTTTTAATATTTTTTTTTAGCATCACTCGAGTAAGCCACTTAATTTTTTTTTTAAGAGCTCTCATCATTATCGGTTAGACTCGCTCCGCTGGATTTTCGCATTGCAAAGGATATGTTAGGGAGTTTCTCGGCGACAGAAGTACCGATGAATCGCAAGAATCAGCAGAATTTTTGGACAGCTTTATTCCTGCTGGGAGTAGAAACTCAGACTCGGCGCTCCGAATTAAGCAACAACCCACTGAACCATCCTATGCCCCAAAATTAAATTATAGAATAAATAATAAAAACAATAATAAAGTGAGAAAAATGTATAAAAACTTAAAAGCCAAAGAAAAATGGTATGAACGAAATATAATTTCTAAATAAAAACAATTAAAAAATCTGATAGCAAATAACGTATAAGTTTATTAATTGAATTTTAGAACAACGATATATGTTAAGTTTTAAATAATTTATTAATGAATTTAATAGAACTAATTTTTTCTGCGAATAATTAAATTATAGAATAAATAATAAAAACAAACCACGAATGAATAAATCGAAAATCATTAGATTATTAAAGTTTACACCAGTGATTCGACCGTGAAAAGCATCGAAAATTTTATTTCGTTTCCAACGGTATCGATAAGATTTATGGTAAGTAGTGAATGAAGCTCCTATAGAGATTCGCCATTGCATATTTAGGGCGAATAGTTCTGAATCGCCTACAATTAAAAATTTATCATCTTTCTAATGAAATATAGAATATCGCTTAAATTTTCCAAAATATAATATAATTTATGTTTGGAAATCTATCTTTTTACCTTTATTTTACTACTGTTTTATTACGAAAATTCGAAGGATTATATAAGTAAATAATAAATAGTTAATTGTAAATAGTCGATCAAAATTTCTAATTTGCCTTACTCAGTTAATTATTAATACGATTAGAAATTTTTCTCAAGAATTCATATGGCAAAAGCAGTACCAATGTGTTGCTAGCATAAGTCGTATTTTCCGTTATCTATCGAGGACGAAAGCCGAATCGCTATGTTTTATCAATATTTTTTCATGCTAACTAATTTGCTAAAAGTGTTCAAATCAACAAACTTTCGAGTTTTCAAGACATTTTTTGATCAGACTATCTTATCCATTTTATTTCTATCATTTCTATCATTACAATTTTCTATCATTTGTTTGAATAATTTTGTCTTACTATCTCCTTGTTAATGCGTTAAACACGCATTATATAATGGTTTTCACCTTTTGGAACATAAGAAACAGGATGATGACTGTCGAGATGAAGCGTTAAATTAGTTTTTTCTCGAATAGCAACAATCGTATGGTAAATATTGTCGTTGACAATCGTGTCCATGATTGCGACCATGTGATCACGAGTTCCCAAATTGAAGCGAGCATGAATATTGCCTTCATTCTGCAAATTCAGCAGTTTTTAGTCAACCGTTATTTCTTTTAACTCTAATTTTTACCACTACAATAAACCTTTTTCGAATTTATGGGTGTTTTAGAATGGCAGAAAATTAAAGTATCATATGTATTTTTCGTGTTAAGCATAAAAATAACGAATTAAATATATTTATTACTTATTAGGTTTTAATTATTTGTCACAAAAAATCTATGCCAATTTCATATTTATCAATACTAATTCAGGTTTCAATTTTAAAGTTCGTATTTTTACTCGTTTCGATACTATCATAAAATACGACTTCTTTATATATCTATTTCATTTAGCAATTAACTCCTTTTCTAGTAATAGTAATTAACGTAATAGCATCAAGTAAAATAAGCAAATGTTAAAATTTCTAAAAATAGAATCAGCAGAAGTATAAATAGAAATTTGCGATTTGCATGAAAATTTTAAATATGAATTGGAATAATATGGTTTTATTTATTATGCAATCAAAATAATTATTTTCACCAAGAAAATAGTGAAAAAGTCGCTATCAACTGTACACTGAACGCTTATTAGCACCGCAAATGCTTGACGAGTTTGAAAGCCTAGAGCAATGACGTCTCGATTAGTTGACGGCCTAGCGGTAGGTGGATATTCGTAATAAATCATCGAAGCAACAGAATCAAATATAAACGTTATTCCAGCTAAAAATATGATTTTTTATTAATCGACAATATAACAAATATGGGAATAGAATGGCTTAGTGGGTCGATACTCGAAGTTCGGGTGATGCTGACAACTCACCTGTGTTTCTATCGCCAAAAGACTCTCTAGCATATCGCCCAATGCGACAAGCCAGTCGAGCGAGTTTTATCAGTAATGGTGAGGACTCTTAAAAAAAAATCTACGATATCTTCGCATAACTTTCTAAACACATACTTTAAAAATTTACCTAATTCACAACGTTCACCGCTAAATGTGGTTAATGAGCAGTCACAGCGAGTAGAGTCCCATTCTTGAATGCATTTTCCTTTATTTAGACATGAAGTTGGTGTACATTTTGTTGATGGCACTATAAATCAACAAATTATATACTTTTTTTTCTTGAAATATAATGAAATTTTAATTAAAATTTGCTTCTAATTTTTAAAAAATAATATTGATATTGCCGAAAGATTTTATTTCTTCCTTACGTAGTATTTGCATCATAATGCTTTTTTAAAATATTCACTACATTCTTTATGTGAAGAAAATTTTTAAAATATTTCAATCAGAAAAATGTTGAAGAAGTGAAATTAGACAAATTTATGTACCTATACATCCCTTAGCAGCATCGATTATTTCTTCTGCTTCAGTAAGTATATCAATATACTCAGAGCCTAACTGCAGCGATGATATGCAGCCACGGAAACCAACAACATCTTTAAGCCTAAATATCCAAATTGCAAAAGCTTAGGAATTGTGGAACTTGCAATTTTATGAAAAGTCCGCTTATTTGAAATGATATGATAGAATGGCTTTAGAAAACTTGGAAGTGAGAATAGAAATTTTTGAAGAAAGCAATAAAATTTCTATACTTATTAGCCATTTCTATTGCAGCGATATTATTATCGAAATGTTACCATGTGTGAAAATTTTTTTTCAAGCTAACTCATTCTGTTTTCCGAGAGGGAGTAGTTTTATCTTTGGAATAAACTATTGATTTCTTTTAACCCAGCGTTATAAATCTTCTTTTAGGTTATATGTTCTTACCGTGGAATAGTAATCGTATCTACCAGGCCACCAAGATATAGTTTTCCTTGAAATTTGGCGATATGGTTTCCGACTTTGATAACTGTGCTCGTATTGTCAATTAACAGATAATGTTCAGCACCAATCTAAATTTGTTTTTTTCCGGCCGCTAGAATTAAACATTAGTAGTTTTTCTACACAGCTACTTTAATCTTAACTTAATTAAAGCCGAAAGATCGCTTTTGTTGTGTATATGATATGAAAAAATTTATTAGTTTTAGAGAAATATTATCTAAGCGGCTGCAAAAAAATCTTTACTAACCTGATACACAACAATGGTATGCCAACGCATATCGCTCAAATTCCCTTTTTCTGGTTGTGTTCCCAGCACACTCTCCGTTTTCGAGTGTTGCGATAAAGTGTATCTAAAATTCTCTCCTTTTTTTCTGAATTAAATATCTGAAGATAATTAACTAACTAAAAAATACAAACGACCAGCCCTCTTATTATTTTAGTTATAAAAAATTAACATATTTTCTGAGCAATTTCCTCGTAAAGCAAAATTATTTTTTCAAAAAGTAGTGGGAAAAGAATGAAATTATAAAAATTTATATATACTAATATGCTCAATAATTTGACGCTTAACTTACTTAATTCTTCCGTTAATAAGTTCAATTGATTTGTAGTTGGAATGGTATATGCTATTAGAAATTAATGCTAAAAGAATAGCTGAACGAGCTATCGTTCGAAATTTGAACGATATCCTAAATGGTCCTCCAATCATTTCAATCCTTTCACTCGCAAAAACAACTCGTCCAGTAGTTGTTTGAAAAGTAATGGACGATGATTTCGATTTGCTAAAAACTAATAGTATTAAAAAAATTACTACAAAATGCATTATTTCTTTCTTTTATATTTTGTATTAGAGGCTACGAATATGATCTTCGAAAGTCGAATAAAGCAGCTTGGTAGAAATAGGAGCTAATGAGAACATCAAAAGGACCAATCTTTTTATAGGAGAGATTTGTTTGCTTTTTATTCTATTTTATTTTTTATTTTATTCTACTCTATACGTATAACATTGAATAACACTGAAAAATTCCAATTGTCTTCTTTGATATAAGAATCTTTGATATAAAGAAAAATTATATGAGCTGAAATTGAATGCACTGCAACTTCAGAAAATTTGAACTTACATACTTTTTGTTATGGTGTGAATTAATGGATTTCGTGCGAATTAAATTAAGCAGCTCAATTTCGATTACTGTTAGTTAATAAAATAAGATTAAACAATTTAAGATTTAACTGATTTTTAAAAATATTTATAATCAACTTTGATAAAACACGTGAAATATTCACCGATTTTTGTGCTTCATTTTAATCTTTTCATATGGCGATTGAGATGGAACAGGATAGGTAATACTTTTTGTTATAGCGTTCTGTAGAATATCGTATCCATTAAAAGTCAATTTAAATATTTGTCCACTAAAAACGTCATCTGAGTTTTCGTCTAATGATGAAGCGTCGTTTGTCCAAAATTCATTATGTAATGAGCGGCCAACTGATATGCGATCTATACTTAAAACAGCGCTTGATGACGGCAAAAAATCTAAAAACGTTGGACCCTTTATTTAATTAGAATCAAATATAGTTAGCATAAGTTGCAATCAAGTAATAAAAAATTGATTTTGACTTACAACTATGTTCCCATTTTCCATCTATGAATAGCAAAAGCTTTTCACCACGTCGCTTAACACGAAAAACATGAAAACGATTGTTGTTTAAATCGATTCCCCATTTAAATGTCTGAAAAAAATACCAATGGTTTTTTCCTGTGAGAAAAAATTTTGAAAAAAGTTTGAGAAATTTCGTTAATTTTTAATTAAATGCATGATAATTGCTTTTATTTCTGAATTTATCGTTCCTTATTAATTTTTTTAAATTTAGAAATAGAGACTTTATATAATAAATTTTAAATTATTACACTAAATATTTTGCATTTTTACTAACTTACATGTCGAGCATTTCCGAAATCGAGGAGTAACTCGAGCTCTCCTTTGATAAGAATAATCATTATTCGATGCGTTAAGTTAAATGATGATGTATCAAAAATAACGCCTCGATCGTCGGAAGTGCGGAATTTACATTCAATGATTTCGGCTTCGCTTTGTATCGCAATTGGTAGATTTAGCAAAACAACTGATTCATCCATATCAAGAGCATGAAGCTCTGAAAAATCGAAAAATTTAATCTATACGTTGAGAACCGAATAGAATTGAAACCACTTTTTTCCATGAGTAATCTATAGAAGAATTTTTAATTCTTGTCAAGTTTACACCGGCGGATAATTCTCTTGCTAACTTTTCCAAGCTGGGATAACAGCCGAAGTAAGTGAAAATAAGATTTTTTATAAGTTGGAATTTCCTTTTCATATAGATCACATTATCACTCTGAAAAGCCCTTAAGTATTTTTTCTTTAGTTTGTACAAAAAAAATCATTTAAAGGAAGGAAATTCCAACTTTTTTAGTCCTTCTACTTCGGCGTTTTGCTTCTTGCAACCTATTGTGGTGAAGTGGGCTTTAACTTAAGCCTTAAACTTGCTGTAAATTAATTTAATAAAATAATTCACTTCAAATATTGTCTCATTTTCTCGTTTCTCTACTCAAAGTTTAAATTCAGATCTTACGTCGCTACCCATTGTACGATTACGAAGTTACACAAATCAATCGCTTACCGATATGCCGAAATAATATTCTTTTCCAAATTTTTATTATTTGCTGAATCTAATAAAAACCCAAAAATCACCTATGTCACATGTGGGACCATCCATAATTGAATTTGCACAGTCGCATCGGTATCCAGCGTAACCGTTCTCACACATCGCGAAATTCTTGCAAGGAGATAGTCCACAATAATCGTTATCAAGAACATTGAGACATCCATAAGTTATGCCTAGAGCCAAAATAACTAATTGTTGATTATAGTCATAAATTTTAATAATTCTGGATCAAACTGTCCTTCCACCTTGTATTTTAACTGCCTTTCAAGGAACTGTAATTATTCCTTAAATTGTATTTCTAAATATCGCTAAATATCGATATAACAAAATTTCCTTTGCTGCTTTTAGTAACAAAGACTGTTTTTAATATGCTGAATTAAAGGTTCTAAAACTATTGTGGTGAAGCGATGCCTACCAAGTGACACGTTGTCTTTTTGTTCTTCATAAGCCAATGCTATATTTGCGCTGATTCCATTTACTCTAAAATTTTTCAAGCAACCGATAAAGCCACGTCGAAAAGAGCTTGTCCATACTGGTGTTGGCATTTGCAAACCTTCCGAGGACAGTATATCAGTACTCCACGGTGCAGCCCCAATATATATTGGTTCATCTGTTCGAAAACCATAAATTATAAATCTGTTGCAATGGTTCAAAAAAAAAAAAAAAATTCTATTACATTATTGTCTATCATTGGGATCGTGAACAGCGAAGAAATATCTTACCAATTATGAGATTTGATGATACGCCAGGAGTCGAAAAATCAGTGCGTAGATTATCAACAATAATAGAACCAGTCCTACCCATTCTCTCAAGACTTACGCTATGCCATACATTGCCTTCAGTTATCTTTGATGCAGTAACCTGAATTTGAAGTTAAATTGTGAGCGTATTAATGGTTGATCATTTGCATTTTGAAAATAAAAGATACTTGTAACCGCACATGACCTGATCCAAGGTTGATAACAAAATATAAGTGGCCATCAATGAGTTCAAATGCAATATAATCTGATGATGAGCTATTACCAACTAATTTGTTGCCATGGTAGAGGATTAGTCCGTCTTGTTCATTTGTACGAATTTGAAAGCCTTTAAAAATTAATCGAATGAAAGTTTTATAACTGTAGTAATTCCAAAAATAAAAGAAAGCTAATCACCAATTAAACCAATTTACCAATCCATAGGTTACGGATTTAAACAAAACCTTCGTTATGGCTTTGCTCTTCTTCTCTTGCTACCGTAGGATCGGCTTAAGCCTCATCCTTAATTGTTTAACCAAGTTAATTTTTCTGCTCCTCTTTTAATTTTTTCTATCTTTACCACTGGCGTGGCCGATTCCTAGAATATAAGACGCCGGCCCAAGAACATCATGTTTCTCAGGTTGATGACATTATATCAGGATTTGATAAAATAATTTTATTGACAAGAATTTCATCTTTTTTTAGCATTCAAAATATATTTTATTTTGTTATTTATCTATTTATTAATTTCTTCATTAAACTATAAAGATATTAGCCTATGGCGATAAAATTTAATATGCAAGCTCTGGCTACTGACGAATATTGTACTCCTCTTAAAAATTGATTTTTTGATGTTTTTCTAATCAATCATCCATTATTTCTAATAGTATTTTATCATATCACTATTTACTGTTTTTGTCAGCGTTTGTTTAGGCATTACTGTTTGTTGCAAATATTATTTCAACTGGCTATTTTCAATCGCTTAAGTGCGCGATTTTTGCCGATTTAAATTTAGCCAGCTTCCAATTTTTGCATTTAACCATAGGAAAAAGTTGAATGATGAAAGTGCGGAAAAAATGAGCTTATGCGGTAAGAATTTGGTGAGAGAATCAGACTTTTTATGTTTAACAGCTGTAAATATAAAATTTAAATGAATTATTCATATAATTGTTATTAGAATATGGCTTTAACAATTATTGACGCGACAAATATACTGCGTCATGACTAGCCAAATTTGAGTATAAAGTTGTGATGTGATAGCTGCTGTTAAGAAATATTTGAGAAAAATGTAATTTACGGGAAGTAAATGAGGAATGTAAAATTTTAGAAAGGGGCATTCCGGTCCGTATTTGAAATACAAACGTAACAAACCAGTCCAAGATGACTGAAAGATACTGTGAGGTAAAGTCCCTGGACCAAAAGCCGAAAGGGTTGTCGCCAGTAGTAGGTGGAACCGGCAGAAAACAGCGGTGAAGGTCAAGATATAGCTAGTTTGAACCGCAAACCGCGTAAAGTTGGTTGTCGTCATAAGCACAGTGTAATGCTCGGTAATTGAACAGAACAGGGCTTATTCTCAGTATTAATGTTGCAAAATTGCAATTTATCGTAATTTTGCCACCATCTCCTTTATATATGGCCTACACCTTATTATTTATCATAATCTCATATCATTTGCTTTGATTCAATGGTGAGAATCGAATTATATTATTTGCAAGAAATTTTTTCATTAATTTTTCAGGTATTCATTGAAAATATTTGCAAAAATTTTATTTTTTTTTCCTTTGAGAAAGTCGAGCTAACCAATGCTTCCACTGGATAGAGAATTCCAACTCGGTAATGTAATATAATGTTGACCGGTTTTAAAAGACAATACATCAGCTGGTAGAACAGGTTCGCGACAAGAAAATGCAAGATCGCCACCTGATCGTATTACTGATTGCCCATAACCTTGGTCGGCTAATTTGATGAAATTGATGAGATGAGCATCAGCTTCATATTTCACCTAAACTTATCTTTTTATTAAAATTAGAATCCTAGAAACTGATAGAAGCACAGCGGTTTTCACTAATGTCTAAAAATTTTTAGATGGCTGAGTCCATTATTATTTTTTCCTCTAAGTTCCTCTAAGACAAATTCTCTAAGTATTTTTAACAGCAACAGTTATGCTAGAAAATTTTAACATACTTTTAATCGATACCTACTTAAAAATTTCACCACCGTAGCCATAAACTACTCCTACCACTTCATTTCCACCGCAGAATTTAAAGAATAAATGGTTTTTAATATTTCAAATCGCTGATTTCGCTGATTTTTTTTTGCTCACAGGACTCGATCATTTATGCTTTTGAAAAATCACACCCAAAGCATTTTTGTTATATGGCCTACAACTTTAATGATATTTGCAAAATTATAAGTCAAAATTGAGAAATTTTTAAATTGTTATGCCATTTAAATTATTGTATAAATCTAGCATTTGAAAATACAAATATTTATAATTTCTCCAGTATAAAAGAATTAATTTTGCAAATTTTTGTGACATTCTGATTTAAGATGGATACAATAAAAAGTCAAATAATTTTCTTATTAAATCACACTGAAAGCAATGAAGTAACTGAAAAGCTAGTGAAAGCCAAATTACTAATGGATAAGAAACCTTCTTCACGCAGCCTCGAAAGTTTTCTAGCGTTATTGGTACATTTTTGCTTCGAGGCATACCGCCTACATAGGCGTACGAGTTGGTAAGCCAATCAATATCTGGTGCATATTGTCCAATTTCATCTTTTATATCATCGACAGCCAGTGCCATCTAAATTAGAATAGAAAAAAACACTTTTCTGCACGAATCAACCTGTTGGGGAAAATAAGGGCAATCGTTGTGTTTAAAATGAAAATCATAATGAAAGCCACAAGAAAACAAGCAGCCAAATCTTTTATTTTAGAATTTTATCAATAATTAAATTTTAGCATGAAAACAAAAAAAAATCTTATCAATTAATACGTTTATCTAATCATTCAATCAAGCAAAATAAATAGTTCATAAAAAAGAAAATAATTTAAAAAATTTCAAATATAAATTTACAGTTTAATTGAAATCATTTCTCAGATAATTGCTCGGATAATGAATTTACTATTGAAATCATAAAAAATTTCTAATAAAGAGAAGCCTTGATAATTTTTTTTTTTTTTATCGGAAAAGAAATCACCGTTAACTCAAAAATATTTCTATCTTATTTCGACAAGAATAAATTATTTGCCGAAATTTTGCTTTTTGTTTGAGAAAAAAAGAATTTCAGATGTTTTTTTTTTGAGTGAAATCTATCATAGTTAAAGATTTATTGGTTTCATCTTTTTTAAGGCATTCATGAGCATTCGAATTCTAAAAGCAATTTTCTTTGCTTTTCAATCACTGACTTTTGCTTTATTTCAATTTCCAACAAAATTGATAGTTTTAGCGGTTTTCTCATTAATCACGATTGTTATTCGAAACTTCTGAATTCACCAACTTTTTAAAAGAATATTTATTTGACCATTTAAAAAGTTAAAAAAATTTAAAAACAAAGAGATTTCAGAAATTTTAAAAAGAAATTGAAATTGATTCAATAAAAATAAATATAAAAGAAAATTTTTTCTCAAAAGAAGCAATGCATAAAAAAATTAAATTAATGAAAAAGAATATTTGAGAAAATGATCAGTTGGCTAGTAATACTGGTTGAACTAAATGAATTAATGAAATTAAATTAACTAATCACCATCTATACTAACTGAACTCGTACTATGCTAGATTATTGATAAAATCCCAAATTCTTTATCAGCTATCATAACTGAAGTCTAACGCCATTTAAGAGAATGAGAACATGCGAAAACAAAAAGAACTTGATGAACGAAAAAATTAGAATAAAACTGAAAAATTGAACTAAAAATTAAAACCGAAAATTTTTCAGATCACACAATACTTACATGAACAGATGCGATAGAATTCGTTGGCTAAAGATGATTTATGGATAAATTTCCTTGCATATTCTTGCATCATTTTTAATTTTCAAACCAAATTTACTTCGAACACACTTTTTGATTTTTGGATTTTGAACTTTTCAATAAAAGTTTGAAATGGTTTTTCTGCTACTATTTAAATAATTTCTCACCAAATTTTAAGAGCATAGCAATTTAAATAAATAAAATGAAATGCCCAGAAAAATGATTGAAAAAATGAAAAATGATGAGAATACATGAAAATTTAGAAAATCACTCTTCCTAAATTAGATTTTAGGAATATTTTCAGTATAATTTTCAATTTTATTATTTTCAGCATTATAATTCATTTTTAATTCTGTTTGCCTTATTGTTTTTTTTAAATGATTTTTATCTTATTTTAAATTTTTTTCTCGAAAGTTATAGCGAAATATGCTTTCATATAATTTGAAATGCGAATTGAAGTTATAAGAAGGAAAATTTTAGTCTTTAGCACCGAGAAAACATCATTTATTATCTTACTCATTTATAGATATCAAAAAATTAAAATAGTTTGGAAAAATTTCCAAAGAAAATTTAGATAATTTCCGGGTTTGGAAAATATGAATTTCATAAAATAATGCATTAGGCTTTATGGATCACTATAAATAGAATGCATGGACTTCACTTTATCATAAATTTCATTACGATTAGAATATCGAAGTGTATTGATGATTGGTGAATGTAATGAAAAAAGATAGCCAACCAAAGTGAGAGTTCGAATAACTACAACAGAATGCCATCGATCATCGTCATATCGCCCGGATGGATATTCGTTGAAAATTCTTATTATGCGCTTTTCACTAGCTCCAAACTTGGAAGTTGCTATTAAAACACCATCTTCCAAGGCTATATGCATGTAATTCTATAATTTTAATAATTTTACTTTTTTTTTAAGAATTTCAAGATAATAATTATTTGATTGAGATTGCTTGGGAAGAGCATTAAAAAGTATTTCATATTTATTTAAACACTGTATTTAAACGAAAAGAAACCTATTAAATAAATACTCCTCAGCTAATGGTACTCATATTACGAAGCTATATGTCTTTGATCACTCATGTCTAAAATATATTCTGCAGATCCGCTGAGCTTTTCACATGATTGCATCTACTCCTGCTCAAATACCACTTGTATTAATATTACCATCATAGAACGTCGCTGGTTAGGAGATATCTTTCGTCGCTCACCATAGGAGTTGACAAATGTTGCTATTTGGTGAAACCTATGATGGGTGGCTTCAAAAGCGAGGTGTGCCAATCAAGACCTGGACCGATACTACTATAGAAAAGAACATATAGGGAGACCATATATGGACTTAGATGATGGAAAAAGGAATGGCATCAAACTGTGCAGCTTGGAAGAGTCTTATTTTTGCAGCCAATGGACCTTTAATCAGTAATTGTGAGAGTTGCCAGAAAAAGAAATGGTAATCATATTACAAATGGTACGCAACTCTTGAAAGTAAAGAGATCTATCTGATAAGCTTCAGTATTATAAAACTTTAATGGAGATAAAAACTAACGACAAGCGTTCATTTAAAAAAATAGTGATTTTACTAGGCATAACACTATTTTAGATGTTGTGTTAGCTGCTTCTACTTCTTTTGTTAATAGCATTAGAGTCTTGGAGACTTTTTGTAATAGTGATCACAACATCATTCATGCTTCATTAAAATTAGACCGTTATATACTTCCCTCGAGATATTCTAGAAATTATCGTCACTGTGATTATAAAATCTTTAATTCTATCCTCGCAGAAATAAACTGGGGTTTCTTATTCTATTTAGCTCCTCCTATTGATAAAAAAGTTCACTTTCTTAATAGCATCATTTTATACCTTATAGAGCAATATATCTCTCTGAGAAAAAGAAGCTTTAAGTCGATTCCCATTTTTTTAAAATCTCTTAAAAAAATGTTCCCTCTATTGATAAAATAAAGAAGCTTTATAACAAATGCAAATTAACCAAATTGTCAAATGACCTTTCTGCATATAAAGAATGTTTAAGAAGTTCCCTGTGTTGTGTGTTCATAATTACTTTTTATATAAAGAGGAGCAAATTTTAAATATTAATAAAAATTCTTTCTGCACCTATATCAAAAGAAAATTTTCAAATTCACGTAAGCAATTAATTTTGCAACATAATGATAATGTGATCACATCTGACATTGATATTGCAAGTACATTTAATTAATATTTTTCCAGTGTATTTGTGGGTGAGGATAATACTCATACTTCTTGTTTTAACGTAAATTGAATTTGTTCACTCGGTGAAGTTAAAATAATATTACTGGATGTTTATGATGCTTTAAATAGACTTAAGTCGTCCATTTCAGTTGGTCCCGATAATATTCCACAAATAATTTATGAAAAATGTGCAGTTTCACTGAGTCTTCACTACTTTTAATTTATAAAACATTATGAAATCTGGCTTTAATCCCAAGATTTGGGAGTTGCCTCATATAATTCCCATTCATAAAAAAGGAAGCACCTATGACCCTTCTAATTATAGACCTATTAGCCTAACATGCGTTGGTAGCAAGGTACTCGAAAGGTTAATTTGCAACAAATTGGTCTTATCTTGATACCAATAATTTCATATTCTCCTATCAGCATGGCTTTTGTACAAAAAAATCCACAAATATTGGCAAATCTTTCCGATTGGTCTGCATCAATTGACAATGGTAAAACAGTATCAGTTGTGCAGCTAAATTTGGCAAAAGCTTTTGATGCTGTTTCCCATAGCAAATTATTGATCACTCTTAATAGTTATGGCATTACAGGGGCCCTTTATAACTGGGTATCAGATTACATAAAAAACTGTCACCAAGTCACCGTTACTCGTCAACAACACTTTTTCTGACACAAAATCTGCTAAATCTGGTGTTTCCCAAGGTAGTTGTATTGCGCCATTGCTTATTCTATTATATATTAAATGATATCTCTAATGTGGTACTAAATTCTACTATTTATCTTCATGCTGTAGATTTTATTATTTTATATACGGTAGATAAGATAGCCTATCTCCGCTGCTTAACAGAATAGCCAGTTAGCTATATGACAGGCAAATTACCCTTTCCTTTCAAAAATGTAGCCTTCTTCAAATCAATTTTAAAGGTTCTAATTTTTCTAATCTTATTATTAATGGCAATATAATCAGTCTCACATATTTCCAATCTTGGTATAATCGTGGATGAAAATCTTGATTGACCTTCTCTGCAGAACCATAGTAAAGAAATCCTCAAAAACACTAAATTCTAAATTTATTTTCTTTTATACTAATTTATACTAATTTATTTTCTTTATTTTATTTTTCATTCGTTTAAAAATAAAACTGAAGTTTTTTCTTATCAAAATGTACAAAGCATTCGCTCGGCCACTTCTTGACTACAATGCTACATGTTACTCCTCGAGATATCGTAAATCAATTAAAATAATTGAAGGACTCCAAAAATATTTTATACGGCGCCTCTCTCCTAATTGCAATTTTAATTATAAAAGAAAACTTCTACAATATAACCTATATTCTATGTCAATTCGTCGTATTAAACAAGATTTAATTTATTTAATTTATACTTATAAGATTTTGTTAAATTAGATTATTCAAAATATTGTAATTTTAGGTTAAATTTAAATCCAACAAGAATGGGCTAAAATTGCTAAAATTACTAACCTATGTGTAAAACTAAACTAAGGACTCATGATTTCTTTATTCGCAATATTAATTTCTGGAATAAATTACCGAACGACATAGCTTGTGCGCCATCTCTAGCTATCTTTAAAAAAAGAATAGATAATATTATTTATAATACTTTTTTAAAAAGTTCAGATCATGCAGGAAGTGTGAAATCTCTATTTTTACCATCCGATTATAGTTATTTCTAATTATATTATACTATATTATATTATTTTGTAATTTCCTCTTTCTTTCATCTTTAAATTGTTAATTTTATTTTATTATTATTTTTGTCATTAATTCTTATTATTTGTTATTTTAGCTGTTGTTATTAATATAAGCACATGGCGTTTGCGCAATGTTTGGCTGGTTTTCAATAAATAAATAAATACATAACCTATAACATAATGATGCTTAACCTGTTGATCGCCTATAATAAAAATGAGCGCTTTTCCATGGACGGTTTTGAATGAAAAACTGATATTTTCGAATCTTGACCTTATGACGGCTGCTGAATTATTGCCAACGTCGTATCCCAACCATTCCTGACCGAAAAATGAGAGTTCTGCATCTGTTTTAGCTAAAAATATTCGATTTTTCTGCATTAACAATAAAACTTTTCTACTTTTCCTTCTTAAAAAAATATTTGAAATGATCTCTAAGACTTTTGCCGAACCTTGATCACATCTTCGACCTCCATAGTCCGAAAAAGAACAATCACATTTAGGACCTTCATTGGTACTATAACAATATCCGTCATTCTTGCAATAATGTTCTTCGGTACGGATAATGCCAGTTGGTTTGCAGTAATCATCATCTGACTGTCTTATACCAACTCCTTCGATAAGTTGAGGCGAAGTTACGCCTTAAATTTTTTGTTGCATTTATATTCACAGAAAATACGTTAGGAAATACCTTGTTTACGATTAGATCGCCTCATACCTTGTGGATGAAGCCTGTATACGAGGTTTTTAATATTGCCATTAAAAGTTTTAGTATGCCGTTTCAGCGGTGAACTCATCGATCCAAAAAGATGAATATCCTGAAAAAAAGTCAGATAAAATTAAATAGTCAAGACAATGATAAAACCATGCAATTTTTGTTAAACTTGTGTTTTCTACCAGATTTTTCATCCTAGCAAATATTCACCTTAGTTCATTCGGATCGCCATGCAAAAATTAATGCATGGTTACTATATACATATAGAAATTACTTCCTTCAGTATTACTGAATCCTGAGCTACAATAATTTGGCACAATTTTCTTTCACAATTTTGCTCTACTTTTCCATAAAATTTGGTGGATTTTCTTTTTTTCACTCTTATCAAAGTATCAAAAACATATTTTTGATTAAAAAAAAATGCAAACTTATTATTATAACTTTTTTTAGAAAAAGCATAAAAATTCAGAAATGACAGGAAAAGAAATAAAAAACTTAGAAGCCTAAAAAACTTTTCGAGCAGCTAAAAAAATCATCATTTGTAAACCTTTACAAACCTTCGGAACTCCACCGACAAAGACATCAGAACTTGTTTTAAGATTACCAAATGCAAAGTTTTGTTGATTTAGAATTTTGAATTTAACAACGTCATCAAGCTGGAGCTTGATATTTTCCCATGCCTTAAAGCAATTAAATTTTTCACACAAATATTACGTGAATTTTCTCTATGTGACATGTGACATTCTTTTTTTCGTTAGAAAGTGAGTTAAGTTTTGCATATGGCATCGCTTTTTGGATTCTACTCTGGTGGTCTTTTAAAAATTTGAAAAAAATTTCAAAAATTACTTTATTTCTAAAAAAATTACTTCGTTTCAAAATTGCTTTATTTCTAAAAAAAAATTTTTTTAAACCAATCATAATTAAATAATATAATTATATAATTCAGTTCAGTTCAGTGAATCTTTTTTATGATTTTGATTTATAGCAAATTTAATTTAAATTAACTCCTTCCATTCCTCCAAAAAATAACGAAGTACAAATGTACCTGAAAAAGTGCAAGACGATGCCAATTGTTATCATTAACCAAGATATCGTCAACACGCATTGTAATTGTTGGACGATTGTAAGTCAGATCAGCATCGTCACCAAGCCTTTAATTTTTCTTTAGGTAAAATAAATCTTAAAAAATGATAATTTAAACTTAATTTAATTTAATTATAATTTAATTTAATTAATTTTAATTTAATTAATTAATTATAATTTAATTTAATTTAATTATAATTTAAACTTATTTCAAGCGTTTTCATTAAGGTTTGAATGAAGAAAATTCACTGTAATGATATATTATCATGCAAACAATAAATATTCAATTAGAAGCAAAAAAATTTTTTCGTAAAAAAGCGCTCATACTTGTCAAACAATGTATCGCGAAAAGGGATCAATCCTACTAAAATAACTGCAACGTGGGTGCCTGGACGTTTACCTAATGGAGCCATGTTCCTTAGGACGGCATTACGCCAAAATATACATATGCTTCATATTTCATAAAAATTGTTTCAAAATCTTATTATTTCTGCGTAATTCTGTATGTTTTTTTTAGTTCATAACTGCACTTTATATTTTTGCTACATTTATCTCTAATATCTTCGGTTATGAGATGTTACGGCTTCGAAAAAGCTATTGGATATCTCGGAAAGGATTATATATCAATATTTAACGCAAAGGACCTTAAGGCTTGAAGCAGCAAAATTTAATGCGCTGGCCTTCCTATTATTTAAGATAAATAATCATCAGGACACGAAATAAGCATCACTATAAGCGTCACTATTAAGCAGGGGAACAGAAAAGTAAGAGCAAAAATCGCTAATGCCCCCGATTCTTCAGGTATTTTGAGCTATTTTTAAATTCCTATTTCTTATCTCGCTTCATCTGTTAATGAATATCGCCAAATAAAATCGGCCCAATTTGGCACATCGTAAATGATTTTAGAAATAAATTATTTTTAAATAAAGCTTTTCAAGTGAGGTCAATGGTGAGTATTTGCGTAATTTTTCAATTTTAAATAAAAAAATTCGTCTAAAAACTATCCAACTATGAAAACATGAACCTGAAATCAAGTTGTAGTTTACCATCTGCGATTGTAAGAGAATAAAAATTCCCTTGTATACCACCATCATCAACATATAATAAGAGTGCATTTGATGATTTTGTTCGAAAATCTAGAGAAAGTTCATTCTCAAAAGTGTGCGCCCATTTTGGATACCTAAGACAGAAATTTTTGTGTTAGCTACAAGAATATTTAAGCAAAACTTAGAAGAAAAGGTGTGAAACTGGAAATGCTTCTTCTTTTAGCCCTTTTCCTACAACAAGTCAGTTTATTATGATTTCTGCATTTGAACTCTTCCATTTGATTAATAATAAGGATCAAATATAATCCTTAGAAATAGCTTGCCATCGTGTGAAATTTAAATATTAACTAAATAGTTCTAGTTGTTGTTGTTCAGTTAAATTAATTAGATAAATATAAAATTAACCTTGCATATGAATTCGGCGCTCCAGATAAAATAATTGCGAATGAATGAGCAAAAAATAGAGAGAATAATAGCAGAAAAAATAAAGGCAACGAAGAAAATCGTTTTGAGCAAATTCCAGAGGCAGTATAGATGATGTGCAAAGATGAACATTGACCATTTTTAAAAAGAAGTTGATCATGTTCAAAAAACCTCGACATTAAGTATTTTTCCTTTTTTGATATATTGTAATAGTTATATATTGTATTTAGCCACATACCTTTCGGCAGTGTGCATAGAAAAGTTGTATGTAATGTCGGAACAGTGGAATATCGATTACAATATATTTTTCCGACCGATTTTCGCGTAAAATAATAAAGATTGTCGCCTGAGCAACTATCATTAGCCAATTTAACACTTCTGGAGTTGGACAGCATAATTAGAATGAATAGTGAATTTTCTTTGCAAGGTTTAATTTGAAATTTATAAATATAGCACTTTTATAATAGGAGAATTCATATATAATCCATGAACATCTATAAAACCAAATCGTTTTTCGTATAAATAAAACTTCTTTTTAGCGACGTCTCATGCGATGCCAGTTACAGGCAACCATCCTGTAATTAATGCATCTATATTTCTGGACAAACATAGCTCAATTTTATAACAATCGAACTCATAATTAGAGATGATTATTTGGAAGCATTTTATACCAAAATGTTATAATAAACCTATTTTTAATGTCTTCAAAAAAAATTAATGGAAAATTTTTCTGAATCATATTAATGCTGTATACTGCCTATTAATTCAGCAGCAAGGCATGGAAATTGATTAAATTGATTAAACTGTTTGAATATTTGAATTTAATATTATTTTGCTGTAAATGACATTCTATTCGCTTATAATTGGAAAACGATTTCTCAAAGATTCTCAAACTGGTCGATGAATTAAAATGAAAAATGAAAAAATGAGTTTAATATTATTTTTTTATGTGAAGATTTTTTTCATTATTTAGAATTCGGCTATCAAACTATGCGTTAAGCCGCCACTGGACGGATAAAGCATATCTCGATTATTTTCATGAGAACAAGGATTTTGCGAAAAAAAAAGGATCCAAATAAACGAAGCTTTTATAAAATCAGTTGAAACTTTTATCTATCTGCAATATTATAACCTTGCATTTATTTGTTCTTCAGTGAAATGTCAAATATTAGTAAATATTTGAAAAGAAAATAATGAATTAATTTATAACGATTAAAAAAAATAAAAATTCAACGATGATCAATTAAGGAATCTTTTCATTTCTTGTGAAAATTGTGCTAAGCGCAATAAAAGTTTCCAGTTGAAAGATTTCTTAATTATATCATATAGCAAGACTTCATTTACTGATAATTCTTCAAAATTATCAATATCGTAAAATGTAAAATTTTTATATCTTTTTATTAGCAGAGCTTTGAACTCATCATAATCATTTAATATGCATCTTTTTTTTCTAAGAATCCTCAACATTACTAGTTAAACAGGCTCCACTGGCTTGTAGCATATTTGAGGCAATATCCCAAGGAATCCCTTGGCGATAGAAATACAAGTGAGTCACCAGCATCACCTGGATTTTTGTACAGGTTTGCTCAGGTTGGCAGCAGAACCTTAGCACCGGCTTTCCGAATAGAGCAAGAACCCACTGAGCCATTCTATCATTGCATCATTTAACTGATATGCTTTAAATTATTTTAGATTATTCAGCTTTTTCCATTGAATTTCGATTTAAATTGAAAAAATTTTCTATCATCGTTGCCTAGAAATTTTCCACTGAATTTTTCACATTATTTTAGACACATTATTTCCGAAAATTTGCAACTATTATTAGTATCGAACATTTGTTACTTTTGCCGTGTTATTTCATTTATAAAAAAGATTTATTTTTAAAATTTTTTGCTGATAATTAAAATGAGTAATGTGTGCAGAAGAAAATTAAAAAACTGGCATATCAGATGGCAAATTTTCATTTTGGCTAATTTATCAGATTCAGAAACTCAAAAACGAAATACAATTGATTTCATTAATATTTTATAACATTTAATGAATAATGCTTAATTCCTTTATTTAATTCTCAAATCTATAGGAATCAATCTTCTTATGGGAAATGAATGAATGAATGAACGCAATAAATAGAAAGACAGTCTATAAAATGAGAAAGAAATTAAGCATAAAAAAAAGTGAGTAGCAGAAAATTTCATCGGCTTCAGAAATAATATCTGTTATAACCTGCTGAATCGATTAAAACGCATTTATCATTTCGCTTCTGTGTCAAATTCAATTTTAAAAAAAAATAGTTAAAAATGATTTCGCAGGGTTTTTCATCAAAATCCATCAAATGATCAAAACACTAAGAAGAATTATGAAAATATTTTTGCATTTGTATTAGATTTTGGAAATAAAAAAATAATTTAAATAATATTTGTATAATTTTCAATAAAATTCAAATTTTTTATTGCATACAATAAAATCGATTAAAAATAAGATGAAATGCAATATGATTGATCAGAAATGATTCTATGCGGTCTCCAAAATTCTTATAATTTTTATTAATGGCTCAGTAGATTGCTGGCTTTATTTTAGATATATACTCGCAGAAGTAAAATATCGTATCCTACAGTATTCAACTATGCGATAGACTGGATAATGGACACTGCTTGTCGGTAGTCAAGAGGTGCCCGAATTAATCCAGTGTATCGCATCACAGATCTTGAATACGCTGATGATGTAGTCCTTTTTGTTGACAGTTATAATGAAATGCAAATAATGCTAAATAACGTGTCAGCAACTGCAACGAGAATCGGACTCAGGATCATTGAATAAAACGAAAGATTTTTCGTCTTATGTGCAAAAAGCTGATAAAATGCCTCTTTTTGTAAATTCCTTGCCCGTTGAGGAAGTGCCCGATTTCAAATACTTTAAGTACACTTTATTACCAAATGGACAGGCAAAAGATGATATTACAACCCTGATCACGGCAGCTAGAAATGTTTCCGGATGACGAAACCTTTATGGAGTCGTAATGAAATCACCATAAAGTTCGCATTTATATAGCCGTGATTCGTTTGATCTTGCTATATAGTTCTGAGACATGGCCAATGAGAGTGGAGGATATTAAAAAGTTACCTGCCTTTGACCACTCTTATCTAAGGCATATTTTACGGGCCCGTCGAGCGGATAAAATACCACATGATCGCATACATCTTCGTTCAAATACCACTTGCATAAATAATGTTATCAAAGAGAGTCGCCTTCGGTGGTTAGGGCACGTCGTCCACCACAAGAGTTGTCGCATATTTCGTTATTTGCTAAACCATGTGAGGTGATGGTTGGAATCAAAAACGAGGTGGGCCTGGACTGATACGGTTAGAAAAGATTTGAGCTTATAGGTGGTCCAGAAATATACGGACTTAGACAATGGAAAAAGGAATGGCTTCTATTATTGTCGACGATAGCATCAGACCGCGCCGCTTGGAAGCGTCTTACCCTTGGAGCCAGCCTAACCAGTAATGGTGAAAGCTGTTAAAAGAAGAATAAGAAGTATCGCCTTTGAAAAATTCGAGCGCTGTTGGCCTATTGATGAATGACACGATGGGAAAATTTGTCTAATCCGATAAGCCAGTGGAATGAGCCTAATCAAAAATAATGAGTATGAAACAAACGTACTTAAACGCAAATTTTTGTAAATATTCAGATATTCGAAAAAATGAAATAATTCCCTTAAATATTAAATTTGATGAATTCCTAAAAACAAATTTATATTTTAATTACTCGAAAAAAATTTGAAAGCGCTGAAAATGTCATTTCATGACAATTACTTATATATCGCATAAGATTAGCGTGAAAAATATGCGACAACAACAAAAATCGTATTTACTTTATGAAGAAATATTCTAAATATTCTGAGAAAGAAGAAGAAAAAAAAAGTTTGAAGCTGTTCATTCTCATCCAGTAATTTCTCTATGTTTGAAATATTCGTAGAAGTTTTACTAATAATTTTCATTGTGAAAATCCGTAAATTATCGACGAAAATTTATGATGAATATAATATGAATATACATAAAAAATTGCTGAATATAGCCTTTTTTTACTGTTATAATTCGGTTATTTTAAAAAATGATGCGATAACTCGAATAATTTTTCGGAAAACACAGAATTTTCTTCAAATCGCAGCGAATTTTTTTCTTAATATCAATGCAAAATGAGGAAATAACGATTAAAAGAAACAATTTTAGTGAAAATGAGAAAAAATTTACGAAAAAATAAAAAAACTTTTAAAAAAATCAATGGATTTAATTCAAATTCTAACAAAATGAATCGAGAAATAAAGCAATAATCAAAGTCAAAGTTCAACACCAATATTTATAGAAATTTTAAGGAAATCTGATATTTATTGCAAGTGAATATTTATTAGAACTGATAACTGATAAAATATTATTTCATACTGATGATTATTCGATTGATAGACGAAAAATCAAAATAAATTCGACTAAAACGTTGATTATAAAATGAGCGATTAGAAGCAATTTGAGTAATGTTATTCCAATAGGATTAATATGTCATTTTCGCTTGAATGTAAAAAGATAAATCATAAATCACGCATTTAAAAGCAAGTTCCAACTTTATGAATTACTCAACATTTTCAATGGAGAATTTTTAAGACCATTAAAAGATTTCGAATTATTTCAAATATAAATATGAACGATGTAAATCAATTTACGCTATCTAAGCCAAATATATCTTTTAATATAACTAAATGACTTTTTCATTTTTTTCATGAAATTTGAAAATATATTTTATTGAAAAATATATTTGAAAATATTTCTACGAAAAAAAAACAACTGCTCAGAATCTCTATATTTGCCAATATTTTATTGCGATGTAAGCACTCATCATTATTAAAAATTATAAAAGAAAAAAAAAACATAGAACAGACATTAGCAGTTTCGTACTTTTATTGAAACAAGCAATAAAAAATTAAAACCTCCTTTTTTTGATATTTTTATCAATTATTCTTCTTCCAAAAATAGTTTCGCTAATATTTTTTTTTAAAGAATATTATTTTATACTCAAAAATTGAACATAGTTGACTAAAATTAGATTGGCATTAATGATTAATGTGATTGGACCAAACCGCACCACTTTATGAGTTCGAACAAACATCACCAAGATGAAGCAAACACGC